ATCATTATCCACATTGTTCTCAGCAAGCCAAGTTCCAACCCAGCCTTTCCTGCCAGCCCCAGACTGCAGAGGAGAGCCCCCACTGAGCCCCTTGGTGACACTCTAGCCCCTCTCATCAGTGCAGCCCAAGGACCTTGGTGAATGCCGGGTCCTCTGGACCTTGCTGTGAAGCATAATCCCCTGACGGGCACTTTGCCTCATGTGTCCATTCCAGCACGCCCCCTTCCTCGAGCCTTTTCATTCCTTCCTCTGTTGTCTGTCTCAGCAATTCAGGCATTTCAGCATTTTGATCACTTTTTCTAGGCTTCTACCAAGCCGCCCTGGAGCAGTGACTTTGCACTATCTCTTGGCATTTTTCTCATGGTGTTAAATCCTGTATCCTGAGAAATAACTCCAAGTCAATAAACTCTCCCGTATCTAGTTTTATGAATCTGACACCTTCGACCAAGCAAGCACCTTCAGACTCGAGTCCCAAGAGTACTCCCCCGGCTCCTACAGTACGTGCTGGCTAGCTCATGCAGCTCCCTTGGCATACAGGCCATTTCTTCCCCCACCAGACCCAGCACAGCCCAACCAGATTACGTTGTGGCTGAACTCTGGTTATAGGCCTAGTAGCCAGGAGAAGGGGTGGGGACAGCTCCTGAGGGGCACCTGCTGCCTTATTGGGGAAAGACCCTGACATTGTCTTTCCTTGTGTTAGGACGGAGGAAGGGAGGGAGGGTAGTTCTAGCTCTTCAGGGGGAAGGGTGCGTCTCTTCTGCAGGCTCGAAATAGTCAGAAAGTCAAAATTGTTAGAGACATCCACTAGATGTCCCCATCACACATTTCAGGTTCCCAGGATTGATTACTACCTTGACACAAGAGACCTGGCTTGGTTGAACGTTGTGAGCAGTTAGCTACTTTTACCATCACACCCTGTGCTTGCCCTTCGGCTTTTTCTATTTGGCTACTGCATGGGATGAAGACTTGTTGGCAAGCCACCAAAGTGACTCCAACTCTCACCCTTAGTTTTAAATTGCTTATTAATTGACCTCAGCTTTTCATTATCCACCTGAAGGACATCAATCCAACTCAGTAATAACCACTCAAGTCCATTGTCCTTGTATTTATTATCCACCCTTCTCCCATATTTTAAACAACCGAATCATCCGCCAGTCACTGCAGTCCCCTGCACCAGCGTGCTGTTTCATCCCATTTTAATAATTGCACAGCCTTCTTGTGCCAGGGGCTGTCTATCCAACAGGGATGGGGGCCTCAGAACCAGCCAGTGAGTGACTCAGTCTCCAATGCTGTCTTACCATCTATGTTCTTGGGCCACTGGTACCAATTGTGCCAATTTGAGGCTGAGGCAGAGTTAGGGGTGCAAAAGATGTGTGGTGAAGTTGCACCTCTGAAAGGAAAAGGGAAAAGCAGGGTTGAACGGAGGAGCTGTTAGATCTGACAAAATCTCTACCAGTCCACTAAGAAGCTCTGGAGCAAAGACTGTTTACTAGAGGTGTTCTGAGTTGAGCAGAAATGGCTAGGTCTTGTACCGCCACCTTGCTCAGTCATTGGCTGGAAGTTGCCAGAAAAACCTGGCGCCAGCTACCACTGCTTTGCTCCATCAAAAGCTAGGCTGCCCCTCCCCCTAATAGTGTGTCCTTGTCTTGAATTCCAAAGTACACCTTGTGTTAACAGCTGGAGACTGTCAGCTGACCACACACCTCACAGCTGGACTGCTAGTACTTTCTTGAAGGTAAATTTGCATGGCACACCTCCACGTGGTTGTCTGCCACAACTCTAAATTCCAGAATAGAAATGACCATTCTTTGGCCACAGTAACAAGTAAGTACCAGAAACAATCGATGACAACTTCGCATCAGTAACCTCGCTTCTAAACCAGGCCTCTAAACCACGCTAATCAGCAGCGGCCTCACTCTGGTAACCAAACTGCACCTCCACACCTCCACAACTAAAGGCTCAGCCAACCCCTAAATGCTTTTGAAAGTCTGTTAATCCTTGAACTCCACGCTTGCGAAAACCCTGTACGAGATCAGCAGTTTTTATCTGGAGAGACCGTGCGCTATGAGCACAGCGCTCTCTTGCTCAGCAAGCAATGGGTGCAACTTTCTGCTCTGGGTACTGAACGTGGCCTCTTCTTCTGGCGCTGTCACCGCTGCCCAAGATGCCCCCCCAACCTCCACCTCTGCTTCCGTCTGACAGGCTCCTTCTCATCAGTCAAGTCTCAACTGTCTCTTCCCCACCCCATGTGACGTCCACCACACCCGACAAACCACACCCCAACCCTGTGTCCCCTTTCAGTTCTTGACAGCACTTGCCACAATTTCAAATAGCGTTTGCTTTGAACGCCTCACTCTCCAGAATGTAAACTCCACAGGCCAGGAGGCTTGTCTGTCGTGGTCACCACTGTTTTCTTAGCAGGAAGGTGAACTAAACAGAAGAGTGAGAGATGTCGTTGGAGCTGGTGAAGAGGACATCCCTGGTGAGGAGCTGGGGAGGTGGTTTCGCTCACCCGCATTTCCCAGTCCCCAGTGTAGCGCCTGGAACACAGTAGGGACTCCATAATGACTTAAAGAATGCAGGAAAATAAGTGACATTTCTGTGAAATGTTTAGGGGACAAAGCAAGATTTTGGGGGGATTCAACAATGACTAGAAAGAAATGAATGAATGCACTAAGTTTAAATGAATTATTTTCAGACTTTTTAAAAACATAATTTTAGGAAAGACTGACCTACCCACAAACACACGTGACTGCTCTGTGGGATGCACAGTGCGGGGTGGGAACTACCCACCTTAACTCCCCGTCATGGTCCCCGAGATGCCTCCTCACGACCTAGGGCTCTGAGGAAGACTTCGGACAACTCTCCAGAGAAACTGGATAACCAAGGCAGGGGAGAGATGGGAATTACCGTCCTGTAGTAGAGTCTGAGCCTGCTGGCGTGTGGAGAGGGAGAGACTGCAAAGGGGAGGAGAGGAGCGAATTGGTGGAGCGAGAATGAGACCAGCAGCACGAGTGAAGGCAGAGCCTTAACGAAGGGTCTAGACACCGTCTTCCTATAGATAATTGTTAAACATAAGGGACACGGCATAATCAGTAACCACCACATAATTAAAATGATTCACTGCTGTGAGAAGTACTTTGTGGATTGATCAATTTAGCACTGAAAACTGTTTCAGTTATGATTTAAGGAAGAGGAAAACAAGGGATACCCTGAACTCGAATGGTATGAAACCAATTTTTTTCTTGAATATGTTTTAGACTTCAACTGAATCTTGGTCATCAGAAATATGCTACTTTCATTTAAAATGGGATTTATTGCATTAGAGGTTCATGTTGCATGTAGGACTAGAGAGGAAATATCAGAAATAGTCACCTCATGACAGTGGAGGTTAGGGCGGTGGCCATGCATCAGTGGAGGGCTGGGCCCTCCAGGCAGCGATGGTAACTGTGCTATAAAAGAAATTTCATGGCTTTTTGGCAAGTGTTAAAGATGCAAGGGATCAATAAATTCAATAAGCAAATACCTTTGGAAAATAATTGCCTGGAATTTCAAAATTTATGTCCATAATGATTTCAAAACCCCAAATCTAGCCTGTTTTGTATCAAAAATTATAGTCTCAAAGACATCTCGGAAGTCACAATCATGCAGGAAGAGCCCCACCATGGAGCGCCAGCCTGCTGATGGAGCGTGAGAGCCGCACTCCTGAGAGCCGCTGCCTATGGGGCGTGGTGGTCAACAGCAATGACCCCAGGGTCAGGCTGCCTGGGCTCGAATCACCCTCTGCCCTCACAGTTCCATTTGGGCAAGTTACCTAACATCTCTGTGCCTCCATTTCCCCATCTGTAAAATGGAGGGTAGAGTGTGGTAATTTGGGGGAAGCATTCAGAACAGTGCATCTAGGAGGCAATCCATAAATGTTAGCCACAGACACTGTTAACTATAGGTATGCTGGTCTACTGTATCCAGGTTCCAGCTTGGGGAGCTTAATTCTGAGAGAGATCATATAATGTCAGGGTTGGAGGGACCCCAGACATCCCCTGGCCCCATCCTCTCATTCACTGGATGCTCCAATCGCCTATGTAAGTGATCGTCTCCTGGCAAGTGAGTGGCTGGTCTCTAATTAAACATGCCGTGACAGGAACTGGAAGTCATGCCATTCACAAGCAGCTGTAATTGTGGGAAGTTACCGAGCGCCAGGCTCCTGCTCCTAAAGCCATCAGCCTCCAGGAACCTACAGCAGAGCAGGCGCCCTTCCCAACAGGTTTCCAGGTGTCTGTGACTTTATCTTTTCCAGGACAAGCATTTTCCAACACAATTAGGCAAAGATTTCTAACCTCCTTGATTTTGCAGCAACCCACTCTTTGAATAATGCTTTGTTACCTAAAAGATCAGGGTTCACTCACCTGGTGAGCAACAAACAACTCTCCAGGAGAACATGGGTCTTAATCAGTAAGAGTTTTGTTATTTGCAGAAAGCAAGGAGAGCACCGGGAACTTTCTCCAAAGCAGTGTCTCACCAAGGGAAAGTGGCTGGGGTTTTTATGGGGCACTAGATAAAGAAAAAAAAATTCGTCCCCACATGTAGGGGAGGGGTTTGCACAGGCATGATGAGTCCCATATGCTAGCACACAGGTTGCATATGATGGTAATGAAGCTGTAGCTCCCCTCAAGATGGAGACTTTAGCATGGCAATGAGGAAAGTTCACTTGAGTTCATCTATAAACTGCCAGGGTCTGGCAGGGGCTAGTTCCACCCAGCTGGATTGCGCACAAACAAAAAAGCTGCAAAATGGGCTGATTGTTCGAGTTGGTTGAAATCCTGTAGTCCTTGGAGACCCTTAATACTGTAGGAAATACTTCAGAAATTCAAGTGAATTTTAAAATTATATGTTTGTGTACAGTTCTGTACAGTTTCTGTACAGTTTGTGTACAGTTTGATTTTTGTGTCCAGCTGAATTTCACCGCTTCAGGCCGGACCGCCTGGTAGTTCCACACAAGATTAATCTTCAACATTTTTATTGGTAATATCTGGAAGACATAATATCCACCTGACACAAATCCAAGCAGAAAAAGGCAACATGATTGTGATGCAGCAAAGAAAAAGGAAGTAAGTGACATTTCCCAGGATCCTCACAGAAACAGGTGACCGATTTGCATGTGTATAGACTACTGTCCCCTGTTATCTGTGCACCTAGATAAAGCGTCAAGCATTAAAAAGGCACGAAATAAGCTCAATGCATAGTAGTACTCTCAAGTAGGGACCAGACGCACACTTATTGGTAGTGCTGATGTCTACATTAAATAGAAGTTTTGCCCCTGGCGATGGAATTTTTTTTCATTTTCTCACTCATTCTCTTTGGAGGGTTCATTTTTCTGAATCAACCACACTTCATTATTTCTATTAAGCAATTTGAAAGGGCTGTTGTAGCCTGCTGTGTAGTAAACCTTTTCATCGAAAACTTTTCCGTCTTCCCTCAAGATGCTTGCTAACGTCAAAAGTTGTTCTTGATTCTTTTGGGCACTAGAGAATCCATCGAAAGACCTACAAAGGAGAAAGCAAATAACCGTGAATGACATTAGTACCAATGTGAATGTCAGTCTGAAAAGAGACTCAGGCGCTGGGTGAGGTGCAGCTTCAGAGCCGCCCTCTCTCCGACCTGGCCACTCCCTCCCTTGGATTCCTGCGCTAAGTGTGACTGCAGGCGGCCCAGGAGAACATGTCCCTCCTCCCAGCTGTTGACAGACAGATTTGAAACCTATGTGGTCTCATGCGCTCTAACCCTGTGCTTCTCAGCCTTTAAAGTGCATACAAGTCACCAGTGGATCTTGTTAAAATGCAGATTCAGCACGACAGAGTGACTATAGTTAACAATAAGTTAGGGTATCCTTTAAAACAACTAAAAGAGTGGGACTGGAATGTTTCTAACACAAAGAAATGATAAATGTTTGAGGTGATGGATACCCCAATTACCCTGATTTGATTACTACACATTGTATGCCTGTACCAAAACATCACCTTATAAATACATATAGCTATGTACCCATAACTAAAAACAAAAATTTTTTTTAAATGCAGATTCAGGAGTTCTGGGCGGGGCCTGAGAGTCTGCTTTCTAACAAGCTCCCAGACACATGCTGATGCTGCTGGTCAAACAACACACTGAACGCCCAGCACAACCCCCCTTCCAGACTCTGAATTTTCTCCCAAACATTGCTCCTTTCTTCCTCTCCTCAGGAAAAGAGTAGGCACTGGCTTCCAGATGAACAGGATATAGTTTGACCTCTATGAGTTTATAGTCCAATTGAAGAGACCCACGTTTGGCAGCTCCTTCTATACGTCCCAAGAGGAGTTTTAACAGAGACAAGATCAAAGTGCTGTGGGAGCCCTGAGGACATGATGAAATCTGGGGTGAGGGGTTTCCTCTGAGTTCGGCCTGGAATGCAGGGTGGTTTTGCTGAACAAAGAAAGGGGAGGGGTAGGAAAAGGAACAGAAGTCTAAAAATACAGAGTGTTTTCACAGTGAGGCATAAAATGGGGCCAGGAAGGTGACGCAGGGCCAGAAGGAAGAACCTGGTATAATACATTAGCCTAAGGCCTTTTGAGATTATTCTGAAGGATGTTGAGCAGAAAAGTAACTTGATCGGATCTGGATAATATAGGCAGATAGATGGAAAATAGATTGGCAAGGGGGAGCCGGTTAGGAGGCAGCTAGGGCGTGGGGAAGAAAAGGCAGTCAAAAGATATAAACAAAACAAGGAGAAAGAATAAAAGTTTGAGTATAGATTTTAAAGTATATAAGAGAGTCCCCAGGAGGGCAAAATGAAAATATACTGAGATTAAATCATGACAGCATAGTGACCTAGCTGAGTTGCTGACATGCAAGCACAATGAATTTGAATTTGAAGGTTCAGAATAAGAGAAACACTTGAGAGACAAAAACATTCCTAATATGCCTTCTTTGGTGTAAGTCTTACTGTCAATGAGACAATGGGAAAAATCAATCCTACCATGCTTCAGATAAGATGTAAACTCTGAAGGGTACAAACCACGTCTGTTTTATTCAGCAGTGTCTACCCACCACCTCGAATCATTCAGGCACACAGTTCCCTTTAAATCCTTAAGTATGGGGATCTCTGTCTGCACATGTATACATAATAAAACATTGAGGGTGAGTTGACACAACTCTTCTGTTCTATCATTTGAATCATGTCCACTGAATATAAAATTCTGAACCATGTGTTAAGAAACATTTTGGCTCCTAAATTTATTATTTATTTTCTTAATGAAGAGCCAATAATGAGTATGTTCTGTACAAAGGGAATTTGTTTTCGGATCCCATTTTTTCCCTTAAATCGAATCTTGAACCCTCTAATTGGAAGTCATCTCTTGTTCTCTATTACATGTTGTTCTACAATGAACTATCCACTGCTTTATTCAGTATGCAAACACATACTGTGCCGCCCACCCCCATGCACCTGTCTCGCTAGAGGCTAGAATACATGGACACAGTAATATGCTGTCATATTCTTGAGGAAGTTATAGTCTATAAGTAAGTCACTATACCTTAGAAGAAAAATCGCAGAAGAAAGGGCACCAAGGACAGAGTAACTGGCTGACCGGAGAAACTGAGGAAGGCATCACAGAAGAGATGCCATTTCTCCTGTAGGATGAAAGTGGGCTCTTCAGGAAGAGAGCGTGCACTAGAGCTAGTAGTGTATGCTGCCCATGCTCTAAGTGTCTCACGTGAATTAACTCATTTGACTTTCATGGCAACCCTAAGAGATAGGTAAGCACTATGATTGGACGCATTTTACAGATGAGGAGATTTTAGCAAGGAAAAGTGGAGTAACTTGCCTGAGCTCAAAGGTAAAGAGATGAGGAAGAACATGGCATGTTCCGTGAAGGGTGGGAAGGTCAGTGGAGCCCACGTCAGAGGAAGAGGAGCTACTGAGACAGGGTGGGTCCATGTCACAAGGGGCCCTGGGCACCATGTGAATAGTCTGAGCTTCCCCTAGGAAGCAAGAGGGAACCCCAGAGATTTTCAAATGGAGTAACAGTGTGGAAGAGGAGAGAGAAAGACTGGGACGGTGAAAACTGTCTGCAGGCTACTGATGTGAAATCGTCAAGAAAAAATTCAATGGAGATCAGTACACATCCCAGTATCTACTGGGAGTGTCAGGCATGCACTGGGGTATACAAAGATGACTTAGGTGTGATCCTTTCAAGGTGAGGACCTGAGGGAGCAACGATGGTGATGGAGAACAAGGATCAGATCATGAATCATTCTGAGGTGAGTGGGCCGATCTGGGGACCAGCTGTCAGGGAAGGGTGCATGGTGACGACCATAAAGCTCCTTGCTGGGGAGACAGTCTGGCTGATGAGGCCCTTTACGGAGACAGGCATTGTAAGATCAGAGGTTTGGAAACTGGGGAAGGCTCATTTTTAGGGCTGTTGAGTTTGGTCCCCCAACTCTCACCCCTAAATAGAGATGTCCAATGAGGAGGGAAAGCAGATCTGGAGATACTTCTAGACTTGAGGGTCATTAGACTCAGGAGTTGAAGCAATGTGAACGACCTGCCAGAGCAAGTCGGCTATGACAGGAGGGTCAACAACGGGCATCAATGGTGATTCCTGGGCCAGGGTGCTCAGGAGGAGCCCACGGAGATAAAGAAATGACAAGAGAAAGACCTTCCAAAAGTTAAAGGATGAACAAGTATTAAGGAAACAGACTGGTCAGAACAGAATGCTGCAGGGGTCACGTGGGAGAGGACTGCAGTCACGTGACAAATCCAAGGGCACCGCTGAGGATGGCAAGGGCAGTTCCAAGGAGACGTCGGAGTTGTATACCAGATTGTGACACTTTGAGGTAAAGGCCAGTCTGATGAATTCTCAGATGGAAATGAGGAACAGGTTACTGGAAACTGGAGGAAAGGTGATTCTTGTCCTGACACAGCAAAGAACTCGGCTGAATTGTGTTCGTGTCCTAGTGTAATGTGCACAGTAGAACTTGTGCGTGATGAAAAAGGATATTTGGCTGAACAAATTTTTAAGCAAAGAGTTGAAGGTGTGGCTTGGCTTCTCTTGAATGCTTATAGTAAAATACGAGAAGAGAAAAACAAAGATTAAATTTTTAAACAAAAGGGAAGCAGAGTTTTAAAATTCGGAAAATTCTTAGCTTATCCATATTGAAAGAAATGAGAAAGCTTGTTCAAGAGAGAACAAGGGTGTGGCCAAGCAACCTTTTGATAAGGAGGTTAGTATGGAGCTGCCATCTAAACAGAAGCCAGGACCCATTCTCCAAGACAGTGCAAGAATGACTCCAAAGGCATTTCAGAGATTATAGGGCTGCCCCTCCCTTCACAGGCCTGAGTGCCGGTACCTAGGGGGCCAAAAGAATTTCAAAGGAGGGGTCTTGGGCACGTGTGGGGCCTTAGAGCTCACTCTCTAGCACTGCCTCCCAGCTCTGCACCCTCGTGCCACTGCAGCACTCTTTGCCACTCTACATTCAGCTCCATTGAACCAAGATGTGGCATGGGCTGCAATGGCCACCCCTCTGGAGGGCACAGGCAGTAAACCTTGGCAGCGTCCATGCAGTACTATCTCTGCTGGCGTGCAGAATGCACAAGCCATGGGGGTGTGGCTACCTCCACCTAGATTTGGAAGGATAGAGCTGCCCAGAGCCTTGGGTGTGTGACCCAGGCAAAGGGCCACAGCAAGGGCAGGGCCAATATATAGAGTCCCCAGTAGGGCAATACCTACTGGAGTCGCAGGAGAAGGGCACACCAGACTAGTAGAGCTACTAGGCTATAGCCTAGTAGAGCCACAGTGGGGGTGGGACCACCCAAAGTCATGGGACAGGGCCCAACTCCTATCCAACAAGGCAGGACATCCACCCCAGTGGGCCTGGAGGGCAGTGCCCTGGGTCAAAGAAAATTAATCTTAAGTGTTAAGATTTGGGACTTGGGACCTGTTGCCCATTTCTTTTTTCCTATTTCTACCTATCGGAATGGATGTCTAGCCACGTCTGTCCCACCATTGTATTTTGGAAGCACACAACACATTTGATTTCACAGGTTCACAGCTGGAGGGAATTTGCCTCAAGATGAATTACACCTTGAATCTCACCTAGATTTGATTTAGATGATCTTCAGATGAGATTCTGGACTTTAGACTTTTGAGATGATGCTGAAAAGAGTTAAGAATTTGGGGGCTATTGGATGGAATGAATGCATTTTACATGTGACAGGGACATGAAATTTGTAAGGCCAGGGGTGGAATGCTATGGACTCAAATGTTTGTGACCTCCCACCCCCAAATTCATATGATGAAAACTTAATCACCAATGTGATGGTATTAGGAAGTGGGGCCTTGGGAAATGATTAGGTCACGAGAGTAGAGTCCTCATGAATGGGATTAGTGCCCTTATAGAAGGCCCCAGAGAGCTGCCTTGCCTCTTCCACTGTGTGAGGATGTAGCGGGAGGGTGCCATCTGTCAACCAGGAAGTGGGCCCTCACCAGTCTGAAACCGCCAGCACCTTGAACTTGAACTTCCCAGCCTCCAGAACTGAGAAATTTCTGTTTTTCATAAGCTACCTAGTCTATGGTATTTTGTTATAGCTGCCTGAACAAACTAAGATAGGTATCATGTACTGTGTTTTAAGGTATTTTCATTCTGGTATAATTAGATTGCAGGTAAAGGTATTCTTACAGGTTTTTTTGTGTTTTTTTTTTTGAGTGGGGGGAAATATAATTTGTATTTTATCTTATAGATGAAAGGTATGCAATAGAGTTCTCATTAAATGAATTGATTACTTCTTGCGATAGACCTTAGTAACATATAAAACTAAGCCAGTAGAAAAACACCACAAAATGTATTATACCTGATTTATGGAGGGTGAAAAGTCTGCTGAAATTGCATAGCAGCTAAACTGAGTGCACACAAGTAAAACCAGCAGTCAGCAGGGCTATAAATTATCTACCACTCACCGTACAAACACAGTCATTTCGGCTCTGTCTTCAATGAAGACATCTGACTCTGAAGGCCTGGGCGGATCAAATTGCTGCTCAGAGGGGATATACAGGGAAATGGTAATGGTAGACTCACTAAAAGGACCTGAACCGGGTTCCACGTAGCTTGTCACCGGAGCTGTCATCTTTATTTTCATCTCTGTGCCATAAAAATGAAAGCAAATTTAGTGTGTTTATGACTGTGTTTAAAAATGTAACCTATTCCTTTTTGATCTGAGCCTCTAGATTGACTTTACACTCTTGACAAAAATATATACTTTCAATTTTCATCTTAAAAAAAGGAAAAATTTATTCAATTATTCACTGCCCACATTAAACACCTTCTGTACTATTGATATTTTTGATTCATAAATTCTACATTTTTAGAGATGGAAAGTAGAGAGTACATGGTCCAGTCAATACTTTTTTCTTTACCATTCAGAAAATGAGGTCCCGTAGGCTAAGACACCTGCTAAAATATAAATAGTGGCAGAGCCAGAACCATAAGTTATGACTTGAGATCCCTAATCTTGGGACCTTCCTGCCTCCTGATGTCTCTGACCCTATGTGTCACCAAATTATCTTGAAGCATTTATCCCTAGTTACACCGAGCTCAGTTCATCCAGCAGAAACAGAGCACAGAGGTGGAGAAGTACTACCCAGGGTGACCCTCCTCTAGCGGACACTAATGGTCCTAAGGAGAGTCCTTGTCTGAAAACATAAAGTATTTGAGCATCTGGTTATTTTTCTTTTCTAGAGGATATTTCTTTAATAAGCTAAAACTCAATAATAACCCTGGAGAGTCAATCACAATGTAAGCATTCACAAGGAAAGCTGCCTTTACCTTTCTCGTTTTTGCCTTGGATGTAGCTGTTCAGTTTTGTAAAGCCAGTCTGGATGGCTGAATCCCAGTCCATAGACTCAACGGAAGTGCTGACCCACTTGGCTGGTGCATAGTGTCGGATCTCATAACTTCCGGGCTAAAATGGAACAGAGAAAACCTCGAGAAGAAGCAATTCTAAGAGGGCAGGAGGTGAGATCCAACAATACAGGTGCCTTGATCTCGGCCCTCCCTGGAGCCGGCCTGTCTAGGGGCTGCCCCGCCCCGGGGTCTATGGGATTAGGGACCACGGTGACTCCAGCCCCCCACAACTCGAGACTCAAGTCATGTTAAAAACAACAACGAAAACCAGCACCTATTTATTACACATCCTCAGCCCGGAAGGTCCCACTGCGGGTTCGGGAGTTCCTTATCCGTCCCCCACCCTCCTCACACGACAAGAAATTGAGGCACGGCCCGCACTTGCGGGTAGGGCTAAACGACCGAACTTTCCCGTCTGCGCAGGTTCCGGGGTAGAGGCTGGGAACATTTAAAACAACTTTGTACTTAACTCTACGGGAACCTCCGATCTCACTACAAATCAGCGCGAAGGCGGGCCCGCGTCCCCGGCCTGCCCGGCAGGGCCCCTCCGCGCCCGCGCTCGGCGCCTACCTGGGGGCCCGCGTCCTCCGGGGCCTTCCAGCCCGGCGTCTCCACGGCTTGGGCCTCCGCGCCCTCGGCCGCCCCGGGGTCCGGCTGGAGCACTTCGGCCATGGGCGGCGCCGACGCTGCGGGAGCCTGGCCAGCTGCGCCGCGAAGGGCCCGCACCTGGGGCCGCCCTGCCCGCGGAAGTCCCCGAGTCCCCGCCCCGCAGATACAAGTCCCTCCTCCCGGCAGTGCGGGACACCGGAGCCCACTGGACACTCCTGGCTCTGGCCGCCAGGGGGCGCCGCGACCAAGACAAGGCCCAGACCGGACCCCGGGCGGACCCCGGGCGGACCCCGGGCGGCTCGGGCCGGGCCCGCGTTCCCTGCCCGGTCCCCTCCGCAGGGGATAGGGAGCCTAGCCTAGAGACCAGACTGCAGCGCTCTCCGCTGCCGCTTTCTTTGGGGGTCCCTGCGCCCCCGCCCTTGTTTTGAGGTGAACAGGCAACGTGGAGTATGCACCGCGGGGAGCAGCGGGCTGGCGCGGTTTCTCTGCAACCGGTTCGGGCGCCTCTCCCGCGGCCCCGCCCGCGCTGGAGCCGCTCCTGCCCACACGGCGGCTGGGGCAGTGTCGCAGCGACCGCCCCCGCTGGAGGGCGACTCCCGCCGGGCGCTCCAGGAGAGGCAGGAGGGGGAGCCTGCCGCACCCCTGCAGGCCCAGCCTGGGCGAGCGGCCCTACTCACACCGAGAAGGTGGCCTAGGTCCCAAACAGCCTTCGGGGGGCCTCAGAGAATCTTGAACTGTCCTGTCTTGACTTTTCCCCAAAATGACCCCAAACCCTGTGAGAGCCCACCTGCTCTAGCAGGATGACAGGGGCAGGGGGCGCAGGGAAGGAAGTTTCCGAGGCCAGACCCTAGTAGTGCTTCTTAAAAATTGTAATTAGATGTATTCTTTATTTTTTCGCAAGAGATTTCCACATACCATACAATTCACCCATTTAAAGTATACTATTCAGTGATTTTTCTTATATTTAGAGGTGATTTTAGAACATTTTCACTCCTCACCTTAAGGACACCTTGGCCTATACCCTTTAGCTACTACTCCCCAATTTTCCACCCCTCAGGCCTAGGCAACTACTAATTTGCTCTTTGTCTCTGTGGGTTTGCCTATTCTGGACATTTCATATAAATGGAATCATACATATAATATGTGATCTTTTGTGACTGGCTTCTTTCACTTAGTGTAATGTTTTCAAGGTTCATTCATGTTATAGCATGTTCTAGTACTTCATTCCTCTTTATCACTGAAGAATATCCCAATATATGGGCCTGGTGCTTTTAGAGCAATTGATGTCTTTTCTTTCCCTTGCCTTTCCCTGCCCTGATAACTGTGCAGTGGCCTGAGGACACATGACACTTTCAAGTGGTTATATCACATCTATTATTACGCAGAGCTAAGTGTGAATTTGTGAAGACTAAATAATGAATTTGACTTATTTTTTAAAATAGCCTGTTTATGTAAGAGATGTGATCCATTGCTTAGGTGACTTTGCAAAGTTGAGAATATAACTTTATGGCAGTTTTTTTTTTTTAAAGGAAAAAAGTAATTTACATTGTTGCTTAAGAAATCTGTTGTTCTTTTAATCTGCAGGGTATTGTTTACAGTTATCAATGCTTTTTCTGGGGGAGCATTTTATTTGTAGAAAATCTGAAGCTAAATTTGGAGACATTTTGGGGGGGGGGTTGGAATATGCAATTAATGAAGATAACAGCAGCTAATTAGACTGAATTATCTATATTTACAGGGTGGTAACTAGTCGTATATTAATAAAATAACAGAGGAAGGAAAGGATATATTTTAAAATAATAGGATTTCAGTTAGAACAAGTTTAATAAAGTTTGAAAGATTCAAGTTTTATAGCCATTATTTCAAAATAATCAAGTTAGTTTTCTTATTGATTAATTATAGTAAATTTGTTCTTTTTACTAGCTCATATTTAATCAATGTTTACTAGCTCATATTTAATCAATGTTTATGTGACACTATGAAACAGATATTTTATTTAAGCTTTACGGCAAGTTTTGAGATAAGTCATATTTTCCACGTTTAAAAATCAGTGAAGCATCCTGGAGTGGTGACTCACACCTGTAATCCTAGCACTCTGGGAGGCCAAGGTGGGAAGGTGGCTTGAGATCAAGAGTTCAAGACCAGCCTGAGCAAGAGACCCTGTCTCTACAAAAAATAAAGAAATTAGCTGAGTACAGTGCCTGTAGCCTCACCTACTTGGGAGGCTGAGGCAGGAGGATCATTTGAGCCCAGGAGTTTGAGGTTGCAGTGAGCTATGATGCCACTGCACTCTACCCTGGGCGACAGAGTCAGACGCTGTCTCAAAAAAAAAAAAAAATCAATGAAACTGATAGAGGAGGGGGTACCCAAATGTTACTTTGCTGTTGTTGTTGTTGTTGTTGTTGTTTGGTCTTTCAAATAATATTTATCTGCAATTAATTAACAAGAAATATTTTAGGAGCAGATATTTAATGTTGTGTTGGTCAGGAAAGACTAAGTGATGCTGTGGAAACAACCTCCGATAGTACTGGCTATAAGTTACAGATGGTTTCTTGTTCGTGTAGAGTCCTCACTGGGTCTGACTGCGGCCTCAGGACATACCCTTTCTATGAGATGGTGCAGTGTGGCACCTTTATATCAACAGGTGCCTCCGCAATCACCCCAGCACGAGAAGAAAGCATTGAGAGTCCCGAGCCAGTAATTTCAGCCAATTCTCCTTATTCATGGTAGTTACATTTCTTAAAGTCACCATGATCACTGAATTAGCAAATACTGAACCCCTGCTCCTGGGAGAAATACAGAGTTGGTTCCTGTGAACCTCTGGTCACAATGTTTTCAACAACCATTCAACACATCACCTTGTTTTATGTGTGTTTCTGTATAAAGATATTTAATATGTATTTTTGGTTCATTAACATTGAACTCGTGACCAACAGCATTGTAACTCATGCCTAAATGAAGCTGTGTAACACACATATCTTCTCCGTAAGGCACGTCACAGCCTTCTTGCACTTAGGAACACTAGATAGCACTTCAGCCCTACACCTGGGAGCTATTTTAAACGGCAAGCAAAAAGCACAAAAATGTGAAAACATGACACTCAATCGACTGTGAAAAGAACATTGTTTACAGTATGAGAACTAAAGAAGACAAGAGTGTCACCTCAGCTGGGAATGCGTGTACTGGGCAACCGTTCTGTGCGTGCGCATGCCTGCGAGTGACCCGCAAGTGCTGTGAGGATTGATTATGGGGTTACAAATATATTTTAGCATTAGGTGAATTTGCAGATACAGAATTTGTGAATAATGAGGATCAACTGTAAATGTTTCCTGCAGTAAGTTAAATAAGTTGCTTCCCTCCACATCTCATTGAACCAAAGCATTTCACCCAGGCTTGATTAACATCAAGGGGGTGTGAAAGTGTAATCACTGTTTTCAAGGGAGAACTCAAAATATTTGAGAAAAACACTGTCTATAATATCGTTTAGTCACTCATTGATTGATTATTTATTCCATACTTGTAGCAGATTTTATTTCCCAAAGATATTTGCAACATCATCTCCAACATGCTGTTCTTATAACGTGACTTTGACATAGCTCCCATTGAGATACAGAGGTTTATGCTCCCTTTCCTTGAAACTGGGCAGGCTTGTGACTACAGTAGAAGTAATACTGTGTGACTTCCAAGGCTAGATCATTAAAGCCTTCCACCTAGTTTGGGACACTTGCTCTTAGAATCCAACAGCCATGATGAAGGGAAGCCCAAGCAGCGCCATGGAGAGCCATGAATAGGTTCCTGGCTGAGGTCCTGGCTGAAAGTTGGCATTAACCGCTGCACATGTGAGTGAGAAAGTGTTCAGATGGCTCCAGCCCCCTGTCATTGAGTCACCTCCAGACATCCTTGAGTCTTCCTGGCTGAGATCCCAATGGTCATGGAACAGACATAAGCTTTCTCTGCAGTACCCACAGAAACTGTGAGAATAATAAAATAGTTATTTTTAAAATGACACTAAATTTGGGGTGATTTGTTTTTCAGAAAGAATAACTTAAAGAGTATTTACTCTGTGTGGCACTGTAGTAGGTGTTGGTGGGTTTTGCAATGAACAGAATTTGGTCCTGGCCTTCACATGTCTTACTGTCACGTCATCTTTTACTCCGGGGTCACTTATGCACCCACAGCATAATTAACTATGTGTTCTTTTTTTTTTTTTTTTTTGAGACAGAGTCTCACTCTTTTTGCCCCCGGGCTAGAGTGAGTGCCATGGCATCAGCCTAGCTCACAGCAACCTCAAACTCCTGGGCTCAAGTGATCCTCCTGCCTCAGCCTCCCGAGTAGCTGGGACTACAGGCATGCGCCACCATGCCCGGCTAATTTTTTCTATATATTTTTAGTTGTCCGATTAATTTCTTTCTATTTTTAGTAGAGATGGGGTCTCGCTCTTGTTCAGGCTGGTTTCGAACTCCTGAGCTCAAACAATCCACCCGCCTCGGCCTCCCAGAGAGCTAGGATTACAGGCGTGAGCCACCATGCCCGGCCTATGTGTTCTTTTTATAGTTACCATTGTTTCAGATGTGATGACTGTAACATAGGTAGTAATTGGTACTCTAACGAGAAATGTAATCTTCTCTTTTGGCTGGCTTCTCCTTTAGTTTTGTTGAGAATTATAATACTCATCCATTATTTAGCCACAAGGCAACCCATGAAGCCCCTTTTACACTGAGCACTTTGCTCAGTGCCTGATCCAAGATTGCATGATAAATGTTGAATGATTGCAAGTCACAGAATTTATCAGACACATAGAGAGTGACTGAATGTTTTTAGGAGCACCTGTGAACCACCTTTCTTATGCACCACAGAAAATGAAGAGACATTTATTAAATTGGGGGGTGGAGGCTAAAAAAGCTAACGTCTAAAGCTGGAAATATCTTTAAAAATTAAAACATCAAATATTAACCAGAGTGAGCCTTGATATAACTTCTGAGTCTGTAGTAGGTGTTTATGAAAAAAGAGAGGGACATCCACACTGATTTTAAAAGGTTCGTACTTTGCAGTAAAAATAGATAACCAAATATATCACAACTAGATAGCTCACATTCTCAAAAGCACATAAAAGAAACTAATCCTTGATGCGGCTAAGATAAAATGTTTCTAATAGATCACTTGATTAAAGATTGTTTCCCAAAAACTTAGGGCAGCTAAGACATTCCCTTAAACTCTTACATATGGGGTTTTTACTGTTGCATTAGAATTA